CACCCCAACAAGTGTGTGATGATCAATTGAAATTGAAAGCTGATGGAGGAAAAATGAAAAAAAAACAAAAGGAGAGCTTATATGCAAAGAAGAGTGGGATTGGTGGTGGAAGTGAGTTGGTGAAGGCTAACATATCCCTCCACAATTTGTATAATTCTATGGTGCATGAGCATAAAAATTTATTACGTGAAGAAGTGCCACTTGAGTATCCTATTGAGGAGCAATAATTGGAGCAATTATGGAGCATCGACGAGGGGTCAATCAACCATGGCATCGCGGGATATGACAGTTTCAAGTGAGGGCTGGATAGTGGTCAAGCAGATGGAATGAGCATAGTCTGTGAACCAGGTGCAGATTCGGGGTTGAATCTTTTCGAAGAGAGAGATGATGATATGATCCAAGTTAGGCCATAGTTGGCTGCATAGTATACTTCGGGACCAAAGTTGCAATTTTCTCGTGAGAATCCTATTTTGACTCAATTTCTTATTTTTGGCAAGTTTGTTATTTTAGGACTCTTAAATCAGGTTTTTCCATATTTCTAGACTTTAGTATAAATAGGAAATTTATTTCATTATTGTATTTTTAAGATTTTGATATTATGAGAATTAATTCGAGAGACTTTTTCACTTTCAATATTTGTTCTTGTGTGGAACAACCAAATTTATCAAGTTTTCGCGATCTTGTAACGTTCAAAACTCGGGTAAGATTCAATTAATTGTTTAATCAAAAGGTCTTTCGTGTCTTTGTTACCTTGTGGTTGTTTGATTCATTAATTGGTTGGGTTAAATCCAAATCCGAATTAAATTTATAAGTTTTGCGATCAAAAGGTCAATAATTTAATATACTATTGGTTGTTTGGTGTGCAAATTTGTGAATTGAGTCCTAAACTTTGATTTTTTGCTTTCTTAGGGTTTGTGTCATTTTTTTTTTGTGGGTTTAATAGCGATCTAGTTATTCGGATTCACATCATCGTTTCTTAAATGAGCTAGGCTTGTGGTGCTAGATCATCACAAAATAATAGCCTAATTTCATTTTACTTCGCGGTCTTCTACAATTTCCTTGTAATTTGGAAGATTCAATTTAGTAATTTATATTTCTGCAACAATGTTTAATTCTTTATGGATTGATATTGAAGAAAAGAAACCAGATTTTGATTCTAGGCGGAGACGAATTTGGGTGCCTTTTTGTCCATTATGAATTATGTAATTTGCATTGATTTTGGAGAGTAATTAATGTTAGGATGATTTAAAAAACGTCAGTTATAACATTTTTTGAAATCTAAATTTGGTTTGTAGTATTTGTTAAATTATTTACAAATTTAGAGAGTATTTTCTAAATTATGAACGTAACATAGTATTAGTTGAATTTTTATTTCGTAATGATGTAAATACAAAATTTTCGCTCAAATAAAGCAGCCCAAATACTACAGTCCAATGCACTAACCTGCAAGGATAAAAGATTAGCGGTAGCACTCGATACTAAAAAACTATCAACCAAGAGTTTACAGACCAGATTCCGATCAGCAAGGAAGAAATCTCCCATTCCATGGAGTATACAATCAACACGGAAGAATTGTTGACAACCAAAAAAATAAATAAACAAAAAAAAAAAAAAAATCAACGATCGCCTTAAAATTGACAAATGGAGTTTTGATATCCAAGGAAATCAGAACCAGAATTATCGGAAACCCACAAAATTTCATACTACAGAGTCGTTGACAATCCACAAGTTAAAGTCGAATTGAAATGTCGGATGGAGATTTCACTAGATGCTGAATAGAAATCGATCAAAAGGAAACCTAAACAGAAATGCTGACAGCCAAGATGGATACGACGAACAGATGCCGCTAACGCCAAAAATGGGACAAGGTTAGTTTTTAACTGTAAGTACTTTTCTACTTAAAAGTTAGTATTCTATGTACTTCTATAAAACTATTTAAAGGTCATTAACAATTTGATTATCCCAACACTTAAAGACTTCTAAAAAGTTTCAATTGAATACACCGTAAATTTTAAAAACTTTTTCGATAAAAGTCTTGATTTAGAGATTCTAAAAACTTTTACATTGAATACTCGTAAACTTTATAAATTTCAAAAAGTCTTCAAAAGTTTCAATAGAATATAACCCCCTTAGAGAGTCTCGAGATATGTACATTGATTACCATAAACTTTTTGAATTCCAAAAAATCTTTAAAAGATTCAATTAAATATATCCCCAAATCAAAGAAGCTATAAAATAATTACCTAACCTAGTGAAACTCGAAAACTACATAAGCTAAAGGGAAAATTTCAGATATAATAGATTGACTATAACTCATTTCAAAACTAAGAAACAAGGTTTAAATCTTCAAAAAAATTAAATATTAATAAGATTTTGTTTATGAAATAACTAATTAAAAATATATATTGTTAATTAAATATATTAAGGTCATATGGTCACGATTATGTATTAGACACAATTACAACGTTACGAATCACAAATTTTATAGGTCATAACTTATTTTTCGATCACAAATTTATCAAGATAATAGGTCACATATTATTCAATGGTCACAAATCACAAATTTCTTAAGTCACAACTTATTTCATGATCACAAAATATCAAATTAGTTTGTTAGAAATTATTTCTATATCACAGATTATCAAATTATTGGTCACAACATAACAAATTTTTAGGTCACAAATTATATATTTTATTGGTCACCTATTACATATTAATCACAACCAATCAAATCATTTGTGACCACCATCTCACCACTCTTCATCTCTCTCCACCACCACTACCTCAATCCACATCACCATACCCCGATCGTCATGCCACCACACCAACACCAAATAATTTGTGACCACCTCTATGCTTCTTTTTCGTGTCCTTCATGCTACTCGACACCACCACATGGTCCACTACCATCATCGTCACCACCAATGGATAGTCACCACTACACTCCAGCTAATATTAACCTTCCGACGGTCATTGAGAACAATCCTAGACCACTGCCATCTCGATCACCACTGATTCAGCCCCCGCCACCTCCACCACCACACTACCAACAGCCTCCTCATCTCTACCACACCACAAACAAAAAAATTAAAAAAAAGTTCCCCAAATACGCCGTAGGCACTATCAACTATTACCACCACAATAATCAACACAAGAATAAATAGGCGAGATAGAGCACCTCGTCAAGTAACTGCACCTCAATACCTAATTGTGCAGCCGCACTTCAACAAAAAACCACACAGACCATCACTTCACCACCGTATGGTAATTGCAATGCAAAAGTCTAAAGCCACAATGCCACTGCGGCAAAGCGAGGATTGGCGAGAGCGTAGTCTCTTTAAGTCGGTATCAAGTCCTCATTGCTTAAAAGCACTGTTGCCGTGGACGCCACTTCATGCAGACATATAGAGAGAGAAATGAGAGGGAGGGAAATAATTAGGATTTGGGAGTGAAATTGGATAGGGTGGATGATGGTGAGTATATTCTTATCTTCATTCCCCATCACCAAATCTACCTTTAGTCTAATTGAATATCCAACCAAATTTGTTTAGCCCATTACATGCATACCTTTTATAAGTTATTATATACACATCAAGAGGAATATTATTCCCCCAAAAAAAAAAAAAAATTCTTAATCTTGAACTCAAAAATTTAGCCCTTGTTTGGTGTCTTTTTTTTTTTTTTTTAAAACATGGTTTTGACTAATGATTTTTGGAAGAATGTGTGACTAAAAAATAGAGAAAAATTTTGAATTTACATATAAATTATTTTATTGTATTAATGTGGTTAAAATGATTATGTAGAAAAAAGAATTTTTAATGAATGGAAAACAAAAAGGGGCTTACCACCCTTGTTTGAGCCCCATTTTTCAATAACACATATTTTCCAAATTTATTTTTCAACCATACATTCTCTTATAGCTTGTTTGGAAGGGATTTTAATAATTGATTTTTTTATCGTTCGAGATAAAGTGGATCCTACCTGTGAGAGAAGAATTCAAAAATGACGGCTGAAATAATGAAATAACGGTAAAAAAATTAATTTTAATTGGCTTAAAATCTAAACTAAACAAGCACTTAATAAAATAATTTTTACACGTAAATTTAAAATTTTTCTCTACTTTTTAACCAAATATTCTCTAAAAAATCAATATTCCAAAATCTACTTTTACCAAATAATGAGACTCGAACAAGGGCTGATTTACAGATCACATATTAATATCAAAACTACATATGCGTTATATAAAAATCACTCTTCATGGAAAAATATGAGCTCCTATTTTTGCAGGGTAGCCTTCTTATAAATTAAATAAAATGGATTTTTAAGTTGTTATCCAGAAAAGTTTGCACATATTTGGTTTAATCTCAAGCTTATATATGCACAACAATGTTGGAAAATGCTATGTTAACATAGTTATTAAGTCTTCGGCTCGAAAACCGGTGAACCGAACATTGATCTGGTACGATTGGCACTATTTGGTACATTTACAATCAAACTGGGCAAGAACCACCCAAACCGGTTCATATATGTCCTAAACCAGGCATGTTTTGGTACCTAACAAAATTTATATCAAAGTTGCATGAAGTGAGACTCGAACCCGCATTACCTTACTGAAAGGTTGAAACCTTGACCACTATGGTAGATGTAGAATTGCAACAAATAATATAAGCCAAATATATATATTTAGTTTAACTAGAGTGACATAAAATATAATTTATACTGTCTTTTTATTTTAAAAAGTATTTGTAATTAAAATTAAGCACTAACATTGACCCACCAATTCAACCACTAACCCCCGGTTGAACCATTGACCCAATGACCCAATGGTTTTTTCGGATCGATGATCTGGGTCGGGTCGAATTTTTTTGGATGCACTCTCGCTTTAAATTAAGTAGCTGAAACCTCTATGTAGAAAAGTTTATAACTATGTATGTTACATTCACAAATTACCATAATTAGAAGACAAATATTCTTGGGGGGAAAAAAAAAAAGCAAGGTCATTTTAGATCAAAATCTGCACTTCATAAAATCTTCTGAGGTACATAAACAAGAATTTCCGTGTTACATGTATATATTACATGCATTTTCTGAATTACCAAAAAATACTTTTTCACTGATTGGCCATTAGACTACGTATTAGCTCCAGAATTGAGCTCCGCATATCAGAAACAGCAAATGGACTAACCTGCTCCTTGATGGCACAGAACCATAAATCCTCTGAATCTTTTGGTCCATCACTTCGATACCAATGGCAGATACATCTTGCAATGGCTGTAACATATATACCACAATCATAACCGTTCGTTTGCACTGGGGTACTGGAGCATTCAAGATAAGCAGCTCTGGTATCTGTATAAGAAACTACAGCTTTATAGACTCGTTTGGCATGCTCTTTGTTCATACCTCTACCACTGCTGTCATGGTGCACAAACACGTTAGCGTCTCTCGAAAATGCAAGTAAACTCCAGTGACTCCCTCCTTCAGCTATGTCCAAGTCGGTGTTATCATTGACAGGAAAAATTATTAGCTTCCGGCAGGACAGACGTAGAGGTTCTACAAAATCTTTGAGGCTCCCAATATCTGGGCACTCTTTTATCCAGAAAGCAATTGAAGGTCGTACCAGAAGAATGTCCTCAGAAGGATAGCAGGATTCCAGATAACTAAAATAGAATTCAATGATGCGATCATTGAGAAAATGTGGGCCACTGAGAATGTCGAGATCTGATCGCCTAAGAACAACATCGTTGTAACTGAGAATTTTCTCATCAGCAGTTGCTTTTGCCATGCTTCAGTTACCTATTATAGCTATGACAGTACAAATTTGATTAATGTAAGAGGTCGGCATGTGATTTAAAGCTGAAGAAATTTATGAACTGAAACAATATACAGTTATGCTACACACTATAACACGTTTTCAAGTGACAAAGAATGAAAAATAGCCTTCATAAGATTCAGTAAAAAAGTATAGTCCTGCCTTCCGTCTTCATTCTTAACATCTACTTTCCTATCTACATTTTCTTACATACATCTTAAATTCACTGACAGCTGTAAGTTAAGACTTACATTCATCCATCACAAATTTTATTTTAACTTTTGTGAAATATGCACACAAATTCTAAAGCTTATGCATTAAACATATTGTTCATGCAAGCTGTCTGTTCCGTTCTTGCTGCAGGGAAAATTTCACCAAAAACATTTTTTGCATGCAGGATCCTATGCAGTAAACTTATTAGTCAGGTGGATTTTGCTCGGTTATGTAATAAATCGATATGTGCTTTTTCTTTCAAGAAAGTTGGTTCACGAATCACTGTAACTTTTAAAAATGTAAGAGAGGTCAACATCATGAATCAATAGTACAATTAAAAACAATTAAACCAAACAGCACATCAATTACTGAGGAGGCCGGATTTGTAGGTCAATAGAAATACCAAAAAAGTGCACATGATCAACTATGCCATGACATATTTTGCTAAACAGATTTTGAGGATCAGGTGCATGAATAGGCATGTATCTTTAGGACATGACTCATGAGTAAGCAATTTGAGTTTTCTATCAATGATACTAACAAGGAACAATAATTACAGATTGAATGAGAACCTTATTTTCTATGTACATCTAAGCCTCCATAGGTCCTGCAATGACAGGAGCCTGATGCACAGTGTAGGGTCCTTTCCCATAAATCACCTTAGGGACCATTTTCCTTTCCTGTTGCCATCTCTATTCAGTCCTATCTAACAGGCTCAATGTCAATTATGAAACACAAGACATACAACATGAAATGGTTGAGTTTTCCAATCAATTCACGAGAGCTATTTTGCTTGTAAGTTCAGGAATCATTTAGCAGGATAAATTTTATGCTTTTTTATTTCATCAGCAATTCGCTATGAGTTCAATTAACAGGTGTATACTGTTTAGGTTTCAAAAAGAAATCTTCTCAATGCTCCCCCTCACATTTGACCCAGGAGAATGATGTTCTATGCAAGATCATTAGACTCTGACGCAGAGATAAAGAGATGCACTGACTATGCCTACAATGCAGAAATGGTTACCAAGCAAAAGAACCAGGAGTGGTCCAAATTAAGTTAATATCATCAGCAAAAGGAGGACAATTTGCAAGTTCATGATGTTCCAACCAAAAGGTTTTAGGTTGGAAACTCAAAAGAGTGTAAAGGATTGCAGCATATTATCAACAAATGGACAAACCACAAACATCATGCCATTTAATTTCATATCAGAGGTCTATAAAATAGGTTTTCCACAGTTACACAACTAATAAAACATTTCTTCCAATCTTGGGTAAACATAATAATCTTATCATGGTGAGTTTACCCTGCCACTAAGAAAAGTTTGCTATGCAAAAATACCCCTCCTTCGGTTCAAGAACATCAACTGGGTGAAATATGAAGTCTTTCAACCAACTTTTAAATCAAGTAATCTCTATATTTCAAGTTTCATTAAATTTTTTGACTTAACAAGATTACCTAATTCATATTGCTTTGAATGATAGCAGAACACAACCCTTGAATTTTTTTCTGGAAACAAGCATATCAAATGCGCGTTTCTCATCGCACACTCTCTTTTTTCTTCTCATGTTATTTTTTTAAAGTTATTATAGAGTGTGAAATTTTAATCCCATTTCATTTAAACTAAAAGATGTAAAGTGATCTGATTATATACTGTCATCTATAAGTCGTATTGTGCGGCTAAGTTTGGATGTGAAATCAACCATCTCAAAGGATAAAAATGAAAAAATTTCTCCCTGAACATTTTCTGCATCTGAAATTCTACACAATATACGCAGTGAAGTAGAGACCAGACAATATCCACAGATAAATACTTAAATTTGGATAGAATCTTAATTGCTACGACCTACATGCAACAGATCGCAATCCTGTACTTAATTTTGAAATCACTTAATTTAAGTTTTTTCACACGAAAAAAAAAAAGGACACAACATTCTTTGCATTGGTAAAAACTCATGAGTGAAAAAGGATATTATACAGCCTGCCTACATCTGGAATTTGGCTACGATAGTACTCATAATGGAATCAACAGAATCAAGCTCACAGAAAATAAACTAGTTTTACAATTAGAGTATTTATTCTCATTGTAACATTTTATCGAGCATGTTGTATTCGCAAGAAACAGGCGATGTGCTTAAATTATTAGAGTATAAAATCGTAAAACCATTAAAGAATTTGATTTTGATAAAGTCCAGGGAAGAGACGCAAAAATCTGCCAAAATATGTGAAATCGGGCCCGGAAACTCACCAGCTGGGGAGCAAATTTTCAAGAGAAAAGTCTACTGAGATAGTCGGTAGCAAGACTGCGCGAATATTTAAGACTCACTGCACCGGAAGCTCAGGAATAAGCCAAGAGCGTCGGGATATAAGGGCGTGCCGATGTGTTGGCCCAAAAGAAGATGAGATTGGGGGTTAATTGAACTTTTTCAAATGTCTCCGTGTTAGTAAAGATAAATCATATGTTTATCCTGGAGATTAGTTATGATAATACTGTTAGGACTTTTGAATTTAAAATAGTTTGTTGTAATCTTTTTTTTTTTCTCTTCCTTATCTTATCCTTGTAACTATATATATATATATGTACACACACACAGCAGTAGCTAGGAACTCACTCAGATTATTGAGCTGAGGATTATACAATATATTTCTCTTATTTCTAAGTTGGTATCAGAGGCTTCCTAAGGCAAACATCATTTCTCATCCGCAAGACTAAATAATGTCTTCCTCAGCTACTGAAATTCTCCCAGTTCAGTGTCCAAAAATCTCATCACCATTTGGTGGAACGTTCCACCATGCCTTTGTGGTCAAGCTGGATCGCAACAATTATCTTCTCTAGAAATCAATGGTTCTTCCTATCATTAGAGGCCATAAGTTAGATGGCGATCTTCTTGGCAAGAAATCGTGTCCACCAGCCTTTCTACCAAGGACGGCACCTACAACTGAGGATGGGGCATCACCTATTCTAGCAACTCATCCTAATCCAGAGTATGAGGATTGGGTTACTATGGATCAACTATTACTTGGATGGCTCGTTGGTTCGATGAGTGATTTAGTTTTAACAAAAGTCGTCGGATTGTCGACCTCCCATGAGGTGTGGAATAAGTTAGAGACTGTTTATACTAACCAGTCAATGGCAGATGCTCTCAACTACCGGCTGCAATTGCAATGGACCATCAAAGGCTCTATGTCGATTGATGAATATCTCACCAAAATGAAGAATTACTCCAATCAAATGGGGGTAGCTAGCCAGCCCCTTCCATTATCTGACTGAATAACAATTGTTCTTGCTGGTCTTGATCATGATTATGATAGTGCTATCTCTCTTATTACTCATCAGAAGGCTACCATCACTTGGTCTGATGTTGAGTCAATACTTCTCACTCAAGAAAGTCAAATTGAACAATTAAACACTATGAACAACATCACTCACTCCGGGGCTAATGTTGTCACAATGAACAAACAGGGAAATCGCTTCAATAAAGGTTCAACACCAATGAACTCCAATCATTATTTTGAGCACAGTCATGGTAGAGGAAACCGACCACCAAATCCAGGAGGTTTTCGAGGCAGAGGACGTGGTAGAGCTGGCCGTTTCAATAATAACTCTCGACCTATACGTCAATTATGTGGAAAAGTGGGTCATCTGGTTACCACTTGCTACTACAGGTTTGATTTTAATTTCAATAATCAAGCTAATCAACCAAATAACCAAGCAAATGCCACCATTGCCAATACTACCTCAACTTCTATTGCGACGCCAGATGTTGTTGGGGATCCGGCCTGGTATGCCGATAGCGGTGCAACGAATCAAATTACATCTGATGTTAATAATCTTTCTATGAAGTCTGATTACTATGGTAAGAAAACTCATCGTTGGTAATGGTAGTAAGTTGAGTATCGCTCATGATAGACATTCTAGAATTAATACCAATTCCTCCGCTATACATCTCACTAATATTCTGCATGTACCAAATATTACAAAAAATTTGTTAAGCATTTCCAAATTAACTGCAGATAATAATTTGATTGTTGAGTTTCATTTTGATTTTTGTGTTGTGAAGGACAAGGTTTCACAGAAGGTTCTAGTGCAAGGGAAACTTAGGAATGACCTTTATCAGTTGGATCTACCATCTTTAGCAAGTTCATTTTGTTCATCCTTGTCAAGTCAATTTTGTGGTCTTAGTTTAATTTCTTCCCTTGAAGTTTTAAATGTTTGCTCTAGTGAAAATTGTGATTTATGGCATAAGAGATTAGGCCATCCATCGCGTCAAGTTCTCTCCAGTATTCTTCATTTATGCAATAAAGATTTGAAGACTAATGAAATAAATTTTTGTCATGCTTGTCAACTTGGAAAACATCATGCTTTGCCTTTTTATTCATCAACAATTAAAACTAGTAAACCATTGGAACTAATTCACACGGACTTGTGGGGGCCAGCCCCAATTGCTTCAACGCATGGTTTTCGTTACTATATACATTTTGTTGATGACTTTACCCGTTACACTTGGATATATCCTCTTTGTACTAAATCTGAAGCTTTTAACACTTTTGTCCAATTCAAAGCCCTTGTTGAAAATAAATTTGATTTGTGCATTAAAACAATTCAATGTGACTGGGGGGTGAATATCGCTCTTTTACAAATGTTCTAACACAAGTTGGAGTTGGTTTTCAACACCAATGCCCACACAGACATGAACAAAATGGGGTAGCTGAGAGTAAATATCGTCATATTGTAGAAATTGGTCTCACTTTACTTGCTCAATCTTCAATGCTTCTAAAGTTTTGATGGGAAGCCTTTCAAACAGCTATTTACCTCATAAATCGTTTACCAACTAAGGTTCTTCAAAATAAATCTCCATGGGAACAACTCAATCATTCTAAACTAAACTATTCGCTTCTAAAAGTTTTTGGATGTGCCTGTTATCCTTATCTTCGTTCATATCAAAATCAAAAATTTCAATTTCATACTAATAAATGTGTGTTTCTTGGATATTGTGATTCACATAAAGGTTATCGATGTCTTGCTTCTAGTGGCCGAGTTTATATTTCACGTCATGTTGTGTTCAATGAGTCAGAATTTCCTTTTCAATTAGGATTTTTTACTTCTACTTCGTCTGAGCATATTCCTTGTAATATGATAATGTCATGGGTTAGCCTTCCTTCTCCCATCATGTCATCTTCGAGTGATCCTTCTTTCCAACATGATAATGGCTCATCTCCAAGTTCTCTTGCTATAGGTCCACATGTGCAATCCAAGTCTCTTCGCTCACACAATGGAACATAACGCCACCATACTACAACCATTCCTTGTAAAAATCCTTCACCTAAAGACCTTTCACCTATAGTTATATCGATTGACGATGCTCATCTAACCAATCCATCCTTGTTACCTCAAAATACCTCTAACCCTGAACCACCCATTAACCCACCTATGTCTCACAGCCCATTAGCTTCGTCTTCTTCACCTCCCATGCGACACCGTAAGCCTCGACCACACATTTGTACCCATTCAATGACTATCAGAAGCAAAGATGCAATTTTCAAGCCTAAGATCTATTCGGGTGAGGTTATTAGTTTGGATGTTTTAGTTTCTTCTCCGTTAATTGAGCCTTCTTCTGTTAAGGTTGCCTTGCAGGTCCCTGAATGGAAGCAGGCAATGGATCAAGAATTTCAGGCTCTCCAACGAAACCACACTTGGTCATTGGTACCTTATAATTCTTCTTACAACATCCTTGGTAACAAATGGGTCCTGAAGCTTAAGCTTAATCCTGATGGGTCCGTTTCTCGACATAAGGCCTGACTAGTTGCAAAGGGTTTCCATCAAACTCTAGGCATTAATTACAAAGAGACTTTTAGTCCTGTTGTCAAGGCTTCCACAATTCGGGTTATGATATCTCTTGCAATCACTTTCAATTGGCCCATTCAACAACTTTATGTCAATAATGCGTTCTTAAATGGCATCCTATAGGAGGATGTTTATATGTATCAGCCAGAAGGTTATGTTGATCCTAAGCAACCAAATTTCATTTGCAAACTCCACAGTCTCTTTATGGGCTTAAGCAAGCTCCTCGTGTTTGGTTTGATCAGTTAAGGTAAACACTACTTTGATGGGGATTTCACAATGTCAAGTCAAATAGTTCTTTATTTATTTTTCGTCATGGTCGTACAGTTCTTCTTCTCTTGGTCTATATTGATGATATTCTTCTCACCGGGAACAATACTAAACTTATTTCCAAACTCACATGTGATTTGAATTCTCACTTTGCTCTCAAGGATCTTGGTCCATTGCATCATTTCTTAGGTGTTGAAGCTTCTCATGACTCTGGAGGTATTTATTTAACACAAGCAAAATATATTTCAGATCTTCTTACTCGTCTTGATATGGATAGTGTCAAACCCTATGCTACACCAGCGGTTGTCAACAAATCCCTATCGACTTCAGAGGGGGAAGTCATGACAAATCCTACTCTTTACCGAAGTACAGTTGGGGCTCTTCAGTATCTGACATTCACTAGACCAGGCATTGCTTATGTAGTAAATAAACTAAGTTAATTTTTGCAATCTCCTACACTTATTCATTGGCAAGCAGTGAAACGAGTTTTATGATACTTAAAGGGGACAATTCATCACGGGTTATATTTTAAACCAAGTGAGAGAATTACGTTAATTGGATATTCTAATGCAGACTGGGCATATAGTCCTGATGATCGCAAATCTATTGTTGGTTATTGTGTTTTTCTTGGTGATAATCTGATTTCGTGGTCATCAAAGAAACAACATGTTGTTGCTCGATCAAGTACGGAGTCTGAGTATCGTGCCTTGGCTCACTTAGCTACTGAATTGGTGTGGCTACGTTCTTTACTCAGTGAAATCCAAATTCCGCTACCTAAGACCACCATTGCTTGGTGTGATAATATGGGTGCTGCCTCTCTTACTGCGAATCCGATTTTTCATGCAAGGACGAAACATATTGAAATAGATGTTCACTTCATTCGTGATCTGGGGTTACAAAAAGTGTTAGAGGTAATATGTTCCATCATGTGATCAGATAACCGATTGTTTAACCAAGGCATTAACTTCATCTTGTTTTGAATTTTTCAAGTCCAAACTTGGAGTGACTCAACCACCCCTGCGTTTGAGGGGGCATGTTAGTAAAGATAAATCATATGTTTATCCTGGAGATTAGTTATGATAATGTTGTTAGGACTTTTGAATTTAAAATAGTTTGTTGTAATCTTTTCTCTTCCTTATCTTATCCTTATAACAATACATATTTGCTATATATATATAGCAGTAGCCAAGAACTCACTCAGATTATTGAGCTGAGGATTATACAATATAGTTCTCTTATTTCTAAATCTCCGAATTGCCAATTTTACAATGTTTTGTAATTGGAATCTGACACTTATATAATGCGGTATTAACATTCCTTTCTCACACTGAGTTCTCACATTGGATGAATTAT